ATTGAGCGTGTTCAGCCGAACTAAGTCCTGAGTAAACTTAGTTAGCCTAAGTATAGTCAAAGCATTCCCTGCTATACATATATCTATCTACTATACTATACATATCTTACTAAGTTTACTCAGGACTTAGTTCGGCTGAACACGCTCATTTTAAATCTTACTGGGTTTTTCCCGCTATCATTAAAAAAATTTACCTTACCGACAACTAATTTCTTACTTATGACTTAAAAGACTTAGAAGACAGATCAATTGTCGTTCTTTTGTAATGTTTCATGGGTTACAGTTTAATTTTTTTCATAAATATGATATTTAAATGTTTTAATGTGTGTATTTTATTATATAGAATTTATTATTATTTGACATACATTAAGTGTTATGTATGAAGTATTAAATGTATATAACTTGTTAGAGAGCAAGTTACTTTTTGAATTTCTTTACAATTATTACATTGGCTACATTTCCGTTCGGATCACTCAGATGACCCCAATTTTTGAATGACTGAAAAAACGTCATTACCATCTGTCGACATAAGAAAACACACTCAAAATGTTCTACACATACACTATAGACATTATATCTATTGCGTACATATCCTATACATCGAGAAAATAATAATTAGTGTAAAAGTCGTGGGTCGTCGCGCGCATCTTAGCTCTCATGGTCTACAAACATTGACCCAGTGGATCGTCAGTACACGGTTAGTGTGAAGTGTGAAAAAATGGCGGATGTCGACTTGAATATCGACAATTTAATTCAGAGATTACTCGACGGTAAGTTTTATTTAAAATAAAAATTATTTATCGTAACCGCCATGTCAATTTCACCAACTCAATCAACAATATCGCCTAAAAAGTCATTTAATCCTTCAGTAATTAACCACTAAATAACAACACATCGAAGCTGCGATCGCGGATAATATAATCTATTTTTTTTCTCAGTATCTTATATTTTATTCTTCTTATTATTATTATTATCATTACCATTATTGTTTTTAATATTATTACTTTTTAATTAATTACTGTCAATCTATATTTGCCCTTTAATCTATTAAATCAGATTATTTTTAACCAATTGATGTTTATTATGTCAATTGGATTGTTAGTAATAATAATAAATAAATATCAAATTGTAATAGTTATTCAATTGTTCATAAATGGCAATTTATTATTAAAATATATGTGTGTCTATTTATCACTTTTGTCATCTTGGTCATTGACATCTCGACTGTTTTATAAATTTATGTATATTTATGTGTATTTACGTGCTTATGCGTACGTGTAAAAAAGTGGGTGGTAAAAAAAGTTTTTTATTGTTTTAATAATTTTACAGGTTTCAGCGATTTGTTCAATTTTTTAAAAAACAAGCTGTGAATTTTTTTGACAAAATTTTTAGAAGTTTGATAATCTGTAACACTGAAAATTATAAATGTAGACTTGATCATTTTTGTGTTGAAAAAAATATTAAAAGTGACGAATTTTGATATCATTTGTTGTCAAAAAATTATCGGCAAAAAACTATCTTAGAGTTGGTAAAATCTGAGAATTTTTTTTTTATATTAAAAACAGCAGACGTTTGATGATTTTATGAAAATTAAGTTAGCTGACATTTAAAAATTTTTATAATTTTTTTTTATTAAAAAAATCATTACAAAAAAATTTAAAAAAAAAAAATTGCACGTCTAAAAAACTTCAAAAACTGTAAGTGCAATTTTTAAAAAAACTTTTTTGTTCTAATTTGATTATTAAAAAAAAAAAAATCAAAAAATTTAGAACGTCGGCTAACTTTAATGACATGATGATTTTTTGAGTTTATGAAATGATTTAAAAAAATGAGCATATTTTATTATCAACACTGATAAAAGGATTTGTTTATAGTTAAAAATATTTAACAAATCATTTATTAGAGACCACTTTTTAGTATTAAACAAATATTTCTTAGCATTTAAAATGATGTGTTTGTATTTAATAAATCTGATATTCATTTATTAAATATTAATAAATCTTTTTAAATACTAAGAAATATTTATTAAAGATTAAAAAGTGGTCTCTAATAAATGATTTGTTAACTATTAACAAATATCTTTTGGTACAAATAAATTCTTCTATCAGTGATATGAATAATAATGTTTACAGAAGAAGTAAAACATTTTCAATTTTACATATTTTTTTTTATTAGTTATTTTAGAAGAAATATTTCAAAAATTTATTATAGTTTCTCTAGTTTTATAAATTTTTTGTTTGTTGCAAATAATACAATCAAATATAGAGTTAAAATAATTTTTTATAAAATAATTAAAAGTATTGATGTAGAGTTAGCAGTGTGTTTTTTTAATTTAAAAAGAAATAAATTTAATTATTGTACAAGCCGATAATGAAAAACATTTGTCAATTTTTACGCAAAAAAAAAAAAAAAAAAATTAACGAATCAAGCAAATAATTTTGAAGAACTTCGTCTTGATTTAAGTTGAAAAATTTTTAAACTAAGAAATTTTCTTGATTCAAGACAATAAAAATCTTCAAGATTATTTTCTTACTTCAAGAATTTTTCTTTTGATTTAAGTTATTTTCAGTATAAGAAAATAGATTAGTTTATGAAAGAAATTTTTTTCTAATGATTAATACCTTTAATTAATTAAAAAAAATTCTCAGATCTGCTAAAATCTTCACAAAAAATTTAATAGACTTTTTTTACTTTAAATATCTATTTTTCAAATCTCCTATAACAAAAAAATTTCTATCTAAAATTACAATTAATTATATATTCGTTTGAGCCACCCTAACGTAAATATATAAATATATTAACATAAATATATATTGTGCTTTTTCATTAAAAAAATGCAAGATCATGAAAATCATTAAGACAGCTAAACCAATTTTTCTTATATTTTTTTTTATCTTAAAAACGAAAAAAACTAGATTTTTTCTGTTTATACCTAATTTTCTTTCCCATGCTTCTTTCTTTATATGGAATAAATAATATTACTGGGTAAAGTATTTAAAACACCAAATGAACAACAAGTTGTTCAACCGAAGAAAGGCAGACTTACTGATATATTCTTGTCGGATTTTTCGGGTATGATAATTCAACAAAGTAACAAAAAAACTAAAATTATTTAATTAATTAACAAACATAAACCCAAACAATATATAATACACAAGTATAAAGTAATTAATTAATTGCTCCCTTGTAGCTTTGTATGCATATACATGAACATATTTATCAACACAAAATAAATATATATATGTATATGTGCATTAATGTATGCTCCCTGTATTTGAATTTGAATATTTAATATTGCAGTAAAGTAATTTAAAATTTAAGTTGAGAGTTGGTAACCATGTAGCGTTCGAGTATGAAATATTTTTATTTAAAAGTCTAATTGAACAACAATATAAACATAAATAATTTATCTGCTGAGTTGCACTACATAATTTTTATTCAAATTAAAACTTGTTAATGTGATAATTAACTTTATACCATTAATTAATTGACCTACTGACTAATTAATAGTTTCATTCTATTGATAATCAAGTCTAAGTTATGTGAAGAAGTTCTGTGAGAACTATTGATTAATTTGTTGAGCCAAGCTAACTAAATATTTTAATTGTTTCTCATTTAATATTAATAACAATGATTCATAATTATTTAATTTTATCAGCGCGTTGTCATTAAACAATCAGTGGCAATACTTTAAAAAATTAAATAATTGAATTAAGTGCAACTCTAAATTGCTTGGGAAGGTATTTCTTACATCACAATTGTTACAATATCTTGCATTAAAATTTTATAACAAGCTATAAAAGTACTTAAAAAATATCTTTTCTTGCTGTTTTGTTTCAGTGCCAACAAATAGATATAATAAAGATTCTAAAGTGAAAATAATGACCTTATATAAAATTTTTGTTCATTTAATCGACTTGTTGAAATTATAATTTTGAAAAATTTTTTTGGTCGAAATTGACTAATAAAAATTATAAACCATTAAATTTAAATTGCAAAAAAATTGAAAAATCTATTAAATTGTTTGCAATATTGATATATCAATTTAAGCTTAAATTTTTTTTTAAATTTACTCGAAAAAAATTTTTATCGAACTTTAAAATTTAAAGAAAATTTTTATTATTTTTAATAATTTATTTTTATAGTTCAAATTTTAATTAAACTTTTACAAAGTTAACAGAAGTTTCAAAATCATTTTTTAACGTTTTTAAAAAAATATTTTTATATTTTTTCCACTATTGGACTACTACTCATGGAAAAAATTTTATCAAAAATATTTATTGAAATATTAACAATATATCTTAGACATAAAAAAAATAAATACATGTATGAAAATATTATGTAGTTTAAAATAAATTTTTTTTTAGATAGATTTCTAATATATTATAGTTGTAATTAAACTTAGCTCTATTAAAAATATATTTTTTATAAATTATTTTTAAATATTTTCGATAAACATTTTTTCATGGAGACATCATCATAATATATAAAACAATGAATATAATAAAACAGTAAGAAAATAAAAGTTAAAAGCTTATTACTGTTAAAATTACAAATGCGGTATTTTGGCAATTAAATCACCTATAGCTTAAATGACCCCTAACTTTGCGGTACAAAGTAATTAAAGCTACCAAGTATATAACTACATCAAAGCATCTATAAACGTAGTGCTAATGCAAACCTCCAAAAATTTTTAATACTTTGAAGCATTTAAAAGATAAATTCTTCGATCTTTCAAAATTTGTGACTGAAATAGAAAAACCATAAAGCGTTTATGGTCACGTTTTTTTTTTTTCAACATACGTTTCTTAATTAAATTATTAATCGCACGTACAGATTAACCCAGTTATAATGTAGGTCAAAGTCACCGAATAAAGTACATTAAATTAAACTAATTGTTATTTTATTTAAATTCGTCAAAACTTACCAGAAAACAAATTTATTATAATTGACTGTCTTCAAGAGCACAATGTTCGGAAAAGTGCAATTAAAAATCTCGTTAGATAGATTTATTAATAGAAGTGTTAGAAAAAACCAACAGGAAAGGGGGAAGAAAAAAATCTTATAAAAATAACTAGAGTTGATGCTTCAAAGGATTAAATGACTCCAATACAAAATATAAACTTTTATACATACATATTGTATATAGATATATGGATATGTATATATATAATGTCAAGTATGCAGTTTATATTTTTTTCCAATAATCTAACGTGGAAATATTAAACTGCATGGCTGACTTGTTCACGGTCGTTACTATAAATAACGAATCAATTTATATTGGGCATTCTATTTATTTCTTTGGTGATCAACAATTATCAATAAAAAATTTCAATAACGATAATAGATTAAAAATGATTACAAGTATATAATAGATATTATTAATTGATAAAAGTAAAGTATGATTCAAAGCTTATTTCGGATCTGTTTCCGACTATAATTCCATTTATTTATTGGATTAATTTGTCTGAATTTTTTTTTGAATTAATTTAATTTTTATTCAGTGTAAAAATAGCGTAACTTGAATTTAATACAATTTACTTTGATCAATTCGACTAATTCTTTAAACCTAAATATGCCCTTGGGTCAAGAAAATTTTCTCAATAGAATTATTTTTTTTTTTAGTGCCACTGATAGGATTTAATAAGATTTAGTAAAAGATACTAAATAGGATACTAAATGATTTAGTAACAAACCTTTCATTACCAAATATTTAGTAATAGGTACTAAATCATTTACTAAAGCTCATTTAGTTCCACTAAATAAATATTTAGTAGTATTTAACAAATGTACTCAATAAATCGTTTATTGGTATCAAAGAAATTAATTTTTTAACTAATTTTAGCGTGTAAATAAAATTTAAAATTGAACAAGATTTTAACATATCAATAATAGACAAATTCAAAAATTTAAACTAAACTTCACTGAGACAATACTTACCAAAGAAATATTTAGTACCTGTTACTAAATATTATTTGGTGGAAATAAATATTTATTTCCATGTAATAAGGCTTTGTTCATATAAAGAAATCATTTATTAAATTGTAACAAATAATATTGATGGGTAGAAAATATTTGTTTCTCCCAAATAAATGAATTAAAATTTTGTTACTAAATCAGTTTAGTACTCCGTACTAAATCCTCCTATCACTGTGTGATATCTTGAATGAATATTACAGGAAAAAAATTTTGGGTGAACTATTGGTTATATTTTTGAATAAATTATTAAAAAATAAATTTCTAAAAAATTACATAAAAAAAAAAAATAGTATTAAGAAAATTTTCTTGATCCAAAAATACATATTCTATTTATTTATCATAGAAGAGGCAAATATTTCACAACTCAGGCAGATATTAATATTTTTTTTTGTCAAAAAATTAATAAATATAAATGATTCATTTCAAAAAACTCTTAAGCTAAGAAATTATCTGAACAATTCAGATTTTCAAGAGAATATTTTCCTTGAAGCAAGAAATTTTTTTTTTTGCATTGCAAGTAATTATAAGACTTCTAAATAAAAACTAGAAAAACAATTTACAATGTATAGAATTTATCAACAATCGTATCACAATTGATAATCAAACTAATGTAAATAAACGTGACCCTGATGTTAATAACGTAAATACCTTGCAGACTTAAAGAGCTTGAAATCATAGTTTACTTCTCTCTATTAAACAATTATAATCGTTATTATAAAATAAAACAATAATTATAATTAAATATAAAAAAAATAATGAATATTTTTGACGCAGTTCGAGCATGTCGCCCAGGAAAGTCAGTTATTATGACGGAGGCTGAAGTACGTGGTCTATGCCTAAAAAGCCGTGAGATATTTTTACAACAGCCGATCCTATTGGAATTAGAAGCACCACTAAAAATATGTGGTGATATACATGGACAGTACACAGATTTATTGCGCCTGTTTGAATACGGGGGTTTTCCGCCCGAATCAAATTATCTATTTTTGGGTGATTATGTCGACAGAGGTAAACAATCACTCGAAACAATATGTTTGTTACTAGCATACAAAATAAAGTATCCTGAAAATTTTTTTTTACTACGCGGTAATCACGAATGTGCTAGTATAAATAGGATATATGGCTTCTATGATGAATGCAAACGTAGGTATAATATCAAACTGTGGAAAACATTCACGGATTGTTTCAATTGTCTACCTATCGCTGCTATCATCGATGAAAAAATTTTCTGTTGTCACGGCGGACTCAGCCCTGATCTTCAGGTAAACATTACAGACTTTTTATTGTTATTTTATTCACTTGTATTGATATGAGGAAGCATGTACTAATTCAAACTTATTTATATTGTCTTTGTCGACTAGACTATTTTTATGTCACTGAATAAATAAATAAGATACCCGTTACGGTTTTTTATTCTGCACCGGCTTAGATAGTTACTGTTGTTATTGTTGTCATTATTATTATTATATAGAAAAACTTATTTTTTATCAAGAAAATCAATCGATCGTGGCATTGACATTACGTATAGTACATTTTTATCTAAAAATTATTTCCCCTTTTTTTTGTAGGAAATTTAACAAATAAAAGGTCATTGTTCAAGTGATATTAATCGATAGTGCATTGAAAATTTTTAAAGTTCATTTCAATACTTAAAAAAAAATTGTCTATGGATATCGATATGACGGGATTCGACGGATGAAAATATTTATTTAACTATTTGACCTTTAAATTTTTAATATGACTTGTATACATTTTTATTATAATATTTTTCAATGAAAGTCAATTTGTCAAATTTTGTGGACAATTTTAAGATTTTTTTCTTATTAGAAAAAAATTTGCGCGCCAAACTGATAAAAAATTTGATTTATGAATAGAAATATTTTAATGTAAATATTTTTAAGAAAAATTACTTGAAATTAAGGTGTAAAAGTAATAAGAAATGTAGCAAAATACTGAAAAATATCAGGTATAAAAATTTTGCAGTTACTGTGTTTTAAAATTGGGCAGCCGTCCAGCAATATCGATGTTTTTTATCAAAAAGTTTTTCGGTTTTTCTAGTCTCGTGTGCAAAAAATTTTGATTTATTACTAATTTTATATGAAGTTTAGATTTTGAAATAAATATAAAGTCAAAATGAATTTGCCATAAATCATTATAATTTTCTTATTGAAATAAAAAATTTTTCGTTGAAGGACTAATTTTCTTGACTTAAAAATATAGTTAAGATAATGAAAATTCTCTTCGTTTAAGTAAAGTTTTATTAAGTAAAAATAATTTTCTTGTCAAGAAGATTTCTTCTTGCTCTAAAAAAATTTTAAAATAACAAACGGAATTTTTTTCTATACCATTTTAAATGCCAATTCCAGATTATTCGGAAGTTTTATATAATTTATATTAATCAATACTCAAGATATATTTATCAATGAAATTTTTCTTTATTGATTCAAAATTTTACTTACATATTAGTGTTTCAAAGTAATATTTAAAATTTCATTTATTTTTACCTTAAAAGTTCTTTGGTTATTTTCCCTCATTAGTTTTTTTTGAAAAAAAAACTTCAATATAATCAGCGATTTGTATTTTAACTATAAAAAAACTTTATGAAATTTGACTGACCGTTTTATTTTTTAACTTAAGTTAATACCCAATTTATAATAAATAAAAATTACAAAAAATACTTAAGTGGATGTCTTAAACACTCATGTTAATTTTTCTTGATTGATGCAATTCGTTCGTGTTTTTATGAAATAATTAATAAAACAATTTAATTCAGTAATTACTTGTATTAATAGAAATTAATTTCAAGAATTAATTAAAAAATTTACAGTCCTTTGATTTCTTGATACACAGCAAAATTTTTATTACATAAAAGGCCTTTTAATTTATTATTCAAATTGTTTTTTTTTTTTTCTACAATATGGACATAGAGAACCGAAATTTTAATTTTTATAAAAGTCAATTAATAAAACCGTATTTGGAATACTAGGTCAAAATGACTTTCATAAATTATGATGGTTTTTTTTTTTTGGAATTCATGTATGTAATCTAATTACATGTATGATAATATCATGAATTAATAGGGGAAGTTCACCCCAAAAATTAAGTTGAATAAATTTGATCAATAATAAAAAGGATATAAAAAATATTTTTGTAAATAATATTGTACTGATATTTCACTTAATTTTTTTATGTTGATTTTGAAAAAAAAAAAAACTTTTTTTAAATGTATAAATATAACAAGTGACTGAGTAAATACTTCCTTATGAAATAAATTGCGCATTAAAATAAATTCAAAGTATAAACAACAAATTCAACTTAAAATTACATAATTTAATATATTAAGTACGTTTAATAGATGATGTGCGAAACATATTAAAATACAGTATTTCATGTACAAATCTAATTTTACGCAGTTTATTTTAGTAATTTAATATATGGAGTATCAAAATGTTATTTTTAAATTTTCGACCTCTACTATTTCGAGTAATTTAATTGACAACTATTACTTTAATGATAAAAAAAATATTGCATCACCAATTGTAATAAATTAGTATCAGTATTGATGTTAGAAGCATATTTATTGTAATAATTTTATTATGACCATTAATAATTTTTTTTTTTCAACAGGGAATGGAACAAATTAGGAGAATCATGCGACCGACAGACGTACCAGACACTGGATTGCTCTGCGATTTGTTGTGGTCAGACCCCGACAAAGACGTTCAGGTACTATATTTTTTGTTCTTCTTTCATTTTTAACATAATTGGTGTTATTAATGCTTCAAATAAATAAAAAAAAAATTAGATTGAATATACAGTATATGATATATTTTTTTTTATTCTTAGGGTTGGGGTGAAAATGACCGTGGTGTTTCTTTCACCTTTGGTCCTGACGTAGTGTCTAAGTTCTTGAATCGTCATGATATGGATCTAATATGCCGTGCGCATCAAGTTGTAGAGGATGGTTACGAGTTTTTCGCAAAACGTCAGCTTGTCACGCTATTCTCCGCCCCTAATTACTGCGGTGAATTTGATAATGCTGGTGGTATGATGAGTGTTGACGAAAATCTTATGTGCAGTTTTCAGGTTTGATATTATTATTATTATTATTATTATTATTGTTGTTGTTGTTGTTGTTATTATGAATATAATAATTATTATTATCACTATAATTTATTACTAGCAATCTTGCAGTCACAATGTGACTGCCGTGACTTGTGAACTATAAATAAATAAAATTTTGCTTTATTAAATAATGACTTTTGTTAAATTGAACTGTACTTTCTTAACTATTGACATTTTTAAGGATATAAGCTCATCCTGATGTTACATTCATCAAGAGCTTTCATTTGAATACCCACATGCATTTTGATATATTTTTCATCTATACATATATATAATATATATAAATATATGAAAAATTGATGTGGGTACTTAAATGAAAGGTCTTGATGAGTATAATATCGGGATGAGCTTATATTTTAAAAAATGACAATAGTTCACAAGATACAGGGTAGTTTCTTAATTATGTTAAATTGAACTGTACTTTCTTAACTATTGACATTTTTAAAGATATAAGCTCATCCCGATGTTACACTTATCAAGAGCTTTTATTTGAGTACCCACATGCATTTTGATATATTTTTCATATATACATATATATAATATATATAAATATATGAAAAATTGATGTGGGTACTCAAATGAAAGGTCTTGATGAGTGAAACATCGGAATGAGTTTATATCTTTAAAAATGTCAATAGTTCACGAGATACAAGGTCATTTTTTAATCATGTATCTAGAGAGAGAGCATTTTCGAATGCAGTCTAAATACTTAACATCATAAATTGATTATTGGTGAGAATGATATGAAACCATGAAAAGGCACAACTCCAGGTCAAGACTTCCAACGATACCAAATTTAACCATAAAAACCCATTTTGTCATATAAATACACTGGCCACAAAATTTTGCTTATTTTCTTGATAATATAGATAATTGATATGGTATTGATTTAAATTTATACCTTTTCAAAGTTTCATATAATTTTCAGCGATAATTAATTTACTAAGTTTTCCGTGTAGTTATAAATAGATTTAAATTTCGCGCTTGACAAAATTTATTTATTGTATTTTGTACGTCGTTATATGTCAAATATTAATCCATGTAATTAAAAATATAAGAATGATTCTATGACAGATTCGATTTTTTGGTAATAGTCAATTATTTATGTTAAATTTTTAGAGTAGTTTTGACTACTTTTTTTGGTTCTATAATTTTGTTCCATCATATTTGTCCATTAAATTATTGATAATTTTTTTTTGTCGCAGCAATTTTGCTATTTTTTTAATTTATCTCAAAAGTACTCAAAATATCTATAGTGTGATTAAAAATATTAAAAAATCATTCAGTCAAACTTCTTTTATTAAAATATTAATTTCATAGATTTTAAAACCGTCTGAGAAAAAAGCCAAGTATCAATACGGTGGCATGCCTGGAATTCAAACAGGAAGACCATCAACCCCGCAAAAAAATCCAACTAAGAAAAGCAAAAAATGATCTTCACCAGCTGATCCAGGATAGCATTCACTCATGTCATTTTAGGTAATTAATATTAATTGCTTGTTTTTTTTATTAACTCAAGATAATTATTTACAATCAAGGGGGTATTTTATTCCGACAATCAAAAAGTCGTTTTCTTAATCAATTTCTAAAATTTATAAGATCTTGTAGTTGCCAATTTTTTATTATAAAAAAAATTTATATTAGTCTTACCTCGAGAAAAATGAAATTTTTCACTTGAAATTTATAACTTCACATTAGAAAATATCATAAAGTGGACTCAAAATATTAATGAAATTTTTCCATTTTAGTTTCTTCAATTATTCATTTTTAATTTTAAAGTCAATATATTTATTTACATTCATCATGCAACAACATAAAATGACAATTAATTATCTGAAATAAATAAATAAATAAATAAATTAAATCCATTTGATCTGACAGTAACACAATATTTAAAAAAAAAATAATAACATCAGTTAATATAAACAGACAAATATTTATTATCAATTAAATATAATTGAATAACATTTTATCACGTAAGCTTCAATATACTGATGATTGATAATTATTACGATAAATTTATATTATTTTATCTTTTTATTTTAGTTGCGGAGGCGTTCAATTATTCTATTGAGCCGATAACTTAACAGTCGAATGTTTACTAGTACCTTCCTCTTCCTATTAACTCGATTAATTACATTATATTACATATATTTAAACTCAAATATCATATTACTATTATTGTTACAAAAAAATAATATTATTATTAATTATTAATATAAAAACCAGAGATATATTATTTAATAATTAAATTTACAGTTTATCTTTTAGTAATAAAAAAAAAAAAAATTAAAATATTTATTACACATAAATACTTCCATCAAACCATTTTTTATTTTTTTTTTGACTTGTTTTCTTAAAATAAAAAGTGCATTTTGATATACTTTATTTATTTTTTATTTATTCAGTAAATATAAAAATGCTTTCAGTCATTATTTTGATTTATTATTTATACACATAACATAAGACATTTATCTTCATATATTTTATTATATTATATCATTAGAAAATGATAACCAATTAGTTTGTAATTATTAGTTATAATTTATTGACATAAGATTAATAATTATAATTAGTTATCATGATTTGACTTTTTTCATATAAATTTTTACGATTATTATTTATCAATCTTTATTATTAACTGGCATATTATGATTAATATTATCCAAATAGAAAAAAATTACCGAGTATTTTCTTAAAATTAATGTATATTTTTCGGTGAATTAAAATTTTATCTAGTCGGTATTAATTTTTTTAATTGTTAATTTTTATGATTAAAATTCGGTTAAATTTTTTGGAAGGCTGTAAAAAATTTTTCATAATAAACCCCGCCTCAAAACTAAAATGACAGTGCAAATGATGAAATAAAAAAAATTTTTAAACTCACTTTCAATTTTAAAATTAAAATTTAATTAAGGTCGTGTTCCCCGTGTAAAAATCATCTGATACAATGAATCTTATATTTTGACACAAATATGAGATCCTAATATAAAATAGAGATGAAATGTATGTGGCATCAAACTATTCGTAACGTGATTGGTTGAATATATCATAAGCATGAAAATATATGCAAACCCTATAGTTAGGCGCGCGCAAAATTCAATTCTAGTTCATATAAAAGTCATATTATTTATTTGAAACCCTTAATAAGTAAAATACTTAGGTCAGCGAATTTTTTTAAGTAGATTAGTAAAATTTTCATTTTTTCTGTTAATCAGAGTAAAGGTATAATATTTGAAAAAAACAGTATTTTTATCATGCACTATACTGTTGAACTACTTGATTTTCTTAACTCAGAAGAATATTTAGAAAAACACTAAGTTTAAAAAAAATTTTTGACCGACAAAATTTTTTTTGTCAAGATAATTATTTTTATTTTGAAAACAATTTAAATCCTCCTAAAAATTTCTTTAATTTAATTAATTTGCATTATTTCCTGTATATAGTTATGACTTAATAATTTTATATCACGATTTAAAAAGGCTAACAATATCACTATGATTTTATGCAGATATGACCCCATCACTTTATTATGAATTCATGTTAATATCATAATAATTTCATAATCAAATTACTAGAAATTTTCTTTTTCCAATGAGAAAAATAAAAATTTTCATAATCTAGTTAAAAAAAAATCTGTTCCTATAAATTTTTACTTATTTCTTCATATAGTACAATCACATTAAAAAAAAAAAATTTTATCCAAAATGAAAACTAAAATATTTTAATACTTGCAAACACGACTTAAAAATTAATTAAATTTTTTTTCTAAACTATTTTAAAGCATAAAACTTGAAAAAATGACTTAAGTCATATTTGGAGTCATAATTTACAAAACTCATAATCACAAATAAGATTTAAAGTAAGAAAAATTTTTCTATTTGGAAGCTCCTAAATAATAACTAAATTTTTCTTTTAATCTGAATAATTAATAACCATATACCATTAATAATAATTAATAATAAAAATTTTAAAAATGATACATACCGCCGACATTTGAATAAATTAGTATATCATTGATGAATGAGATCAGTAGAAATGAATGAAAGATTGATTGAAGAGAAAAATAATAATAAATTATAAAATAAATAAAGCAGTATTTTTAAGGCGATGCCTCTGTCTGTATAGATAATTATAAGAACTTATTGAATATCCACAGAAGTTAAAATAATTAGGTTGAAAAGTTAAAAATGCATTATTAAAAAAATATACAGTATATGGTATATTATAATTATAATTAATAATTGATAAAATAATGTACAATGCCAAGTAGGAATTTCAAAAAAGGTTGTTTTTTTAAGTTATTTATAATTTATAATTCTTATCAGTTTATCAAAGTTATAACTTATGATTAGCAATTAATATAAATTGAAAATTTATGTGAGTTATTAATTTTTGAAATAGTTATTTGTAATTATTTTTAATGATAATTAATAAAACTATAAATGTATAAATAAGTAGTTGTTAGTAATATATAATATGAAATATTAAATTTTAAAAATAAGTTACTTGTACAAATATTAAAAAAATACATTTGTTAGTAATATATTTTAAATTATATATTACACATATAAATAATTATAAAATTATTCTGAATTTTTTTTTATATTTATCAGAGAAATTTGTATTTTTTTTTTAATATTAATATTGCATTAATAAAATTGTAAGAAAAAATTTTTGAAAAAAATTCAGTCAATATAATTAAATGTTAATTTAAATTTAATAAATTAACATAAATTGGAAATTATTTTTTTAGTTAAAAAAAAAAAAAAAAAAAAAAAAATTTGCAATTGACAATTAATTCGAACAAAAAAATTATTAACAAATTTGAAAAAAAAAAATTATTAACTGAATTTTTTTTAATAAAAAATTAAGATTTAATTAAATAAAATAATTAATAATCAATAAATATCTAAAAAAATGGTATTGATGAGTGATAATTAAAAATACTATTAACTATTACAAATATTAATAATATTAACACTAAAAATAATGAAATAGCTTCTGAAAAAAAAACGTATGCGTTAATTGCAGTGATTAAAAATAAAAAACTCAGTTATCATAACTATCAATTAAAATAAACTTATCAATAAATACAGTTTAAGTTTAAATAAATATAACACAAATAAGTATGTGTAATTATTAAAACCAATGTAGCGGGATATAAAAATAATCTAAAATGTAAATGCCCGAAATTAAATTAAGATTATGGAAGCAAGAAGTTGTAAACTTTCAGATAATAAATATTCCCTCTTGTTGTAATTATTAATATGTTCCTTTATTTTTTCGCTTTTATTAAAAGAGCGGTAACAAATTAATATTTTGCACTACAATAGATGAGTCATTGTTTTTTAATTACAAGTGATTCAACTTAATCTGTCTGATCATGACAATAGAACAATTAATAAAATTTTTTTATTTCTTCCGATTATTATAGTAAAGACGAAACATTGTTACACTTATTAAAAATAAATAAAATTAAATAACAAACAAACAGTATGAACTTGGCTATACTATTAATACTTTTAATAATTGTAATTGGTGTAATTGCTGCCGGTGTTATATTGAACTCTTCTAGGGATGCCAAAACTGAACCGCAAAACGTTGATGCTCAGTCATTGACACAGAGTGATGATTCTAAACAATTATCAGCAAATCATCATAATGATCTTAACACAAAAAGCGGGCAATCTTCCAAACAAGGTCAAACTCAAGCTGGTGAAACGCCTGAAAAAACTCGAACTATCATTCAAAGCAGAGATGTAATCAAGAATATCAGAAACATTATGATAAATCACGTTAAAAATTATGACAGCAGTGACTCTTTATCGGCAGAGGAATTAAGAATAATTACAAACTATGAAGAAACCTTTGATGTGGATTTAGAAAATCTAGGGCTTAATACAGATGATGATTCTATAGATTTAAAAAAATCACTGAAATTCATTATGCGATTATTAAAGGCATTTGCTAAAGCTGAAATTAATAATCTTCAATTCATGAAGAATTTTATGGCAAAAATTGTAGCTGAAATTGACGTTCAAGTTGGTCTAGAGAACCCAAACGGTGCAGAAATTCTGAAAAATATTCCAGTGATGATCGATATTCTTAAATCGTTTCTTATATATGAGTATATTGTTTTGACTGATGACTCAGGAAATTCAGAAGTCAAAGCGAATTCGATAAATAATTTAATAATAACATTGACATCCAAAGCTGAGATAGTTGATACAAATTACAAGGATAATTATATGTATTACAATGCGGCATTACTATTGAGCAATTACTTATTCAGTTTTAGGTATTTTAACGATATGGTTGAAAATTTATCAACGTGGAAACAACAATACAAAGATTCTTTTGCAAAATGCAAGACATCAGGTTCAGATGCTTTCAAGTTTTATTCTTCAACTTATAAACTTTTGAACGTAATAGATGAAAATTAATTCTTTAAAGAGAAATCGCTGATTATTTTATTAGATTTTCGAATAAAAATTGATAATTAAATTAAAGTAGAAATAATTTTTAAAAAAATTTTTTATATTTATTAGAATGATGAAAGAAAATTAACAGATTGAAAATTTATGAGTAAAAATATTAAAAATAATCATTAAAATTGTATACTGAAACTTGCGAATGACAATAACACTTTTGAGCTGCATAATTGCATCGGTAATCATTGTCTTCGTTGCTGTTAATTCAGGAAATGAAGAAGAAGATGATGTATCGAAAAAAGAAGTTGAACTCGATGAAGAATTTGTTGAAAAAATAACAAATGCAATGATGATAGAAATAAAAAATCCCACACCATCGCTTTCTGACGCTATTGATAATTATTTGTCAGACCGCAAAAGTTATGTGCAAGCAACAATAGCGACTTGTACATTGAACGTAAGGTACTTGAAAGAGACATTAGATTTGAATTTTGAAGCCTTGCAATATTATGCGCAAAACACGTCGGAGGATGACTATAAAAACTTTGTGACCGACCACATTAAGAAAATCTATGAAGTAATAATGCCGGATGTAAGCTTCACTGTTTATTCAATGCTGAATATCAGTTTATTCACGGGGAGTTTATTAAAGC